GCCTCAAAGATCTGTTTTGTTTTAGTTTTTTTACAAGTTGAATTCGGGCGGACATTGTTTATCAGCTTTTCTTCTTAATCATATTTCATTTAGTTAATGCAGTAGAGCTACAGTAGCCTACTTCATCTCCGCAGGACAGTGATATTTTAGTTCTGTGTAATTTAAGGCACCAACAGAAGATTATTATGGAAATGGTTCAACATTTTGCAAATTAATCTTATTTTCTTTCTTGCTGCAAGTTAGAGGAGAAAATTGATACAACCTGTCATGTATGTACGCTAAATATGACACACACAATGAGCAGCCAGTTAGCATAGCTTAGCACAATGACGGGGGGAAACAGCTTACTACTGGCTCTGTAACAAAAGGTAAAGGTAACAAAGTCCTCCTATAAGCACCTCTAAAGCTCACTAATATTTTATCTGGCATCATGTTTTCATATTCCTAAGAAGAAAATGTAAGGCTGCAATGATTTTTCAATCAATTAATCTCCTCAGGAAATAGTGGGGGAAAAAAGTCCTGTGAATGCCAGTGAAAAATCCTCTAGAGTTCAAGGTGATGTCATCAAATATAGTATTTCACATGTCGTTTTGTCCAAGTAACAGTGCAAAACCCTAAAATATAAAATTTTAATGTAATGTAAGAAAAGCAGCCATTTGTGTCAACAACAAAAAAAATCAGCTTTCAGACATATCAGAAAAACTCCTGGAAAACACTTGATATTGCAGACTGATGATACATGGAAGAAAACCACACACTCTATGCTGTCAGCAGTCATTATTGTTTACTATACGAGGCTCAGAAGAAAGAAGTCTTGACTGCACACAGTCTTATGTACACAAATTCAAAACCAGATGGATTTGGGAGATTATAGGAACTCTATCTGAGATAAAACAAAATTCCTGTTTTCTCCCAACTTCCTGAGAGGAGATGCAGGCTTCAGCTGTGAGACCAGATGCCTGCACTGAGGGCACTGGTGGAATTTAAGGTTTTGTTTGTGTATATAAAAGTTAATCCTGGTTATAGCTTGAAAAGACAAAAAGGTTTTAGCGGGAGGATAAATATGGATGCTGACGGTGAGCTCCAGCAGGAGATAAGCAGGAAGTTCAGTCAAGGCTCCCGATGCTATCTGAGAAAATACCCAGTGTGACAGGGGTCTGTTTAAAGTGTTAATGTGCTGTAGACTTGTACTCTCCAAAGGCCTCATGCTTTTGATTTAGTTTGTTTAGTGTGTCTGGACAGTCCTACCCACTAGATTGGCAAACAAAGGAAGGTTTGTTTAGTAGTCTTTCTGTTGGTTAATATAGAGCAGGTTTCAAGGTTACTCTGTGGTCCTGGTTTGTGAGGCGAGGGCCTGTCACCAACATGCTCTCTCTGTGTGGCCTGCAGGCTGGTCGCTGTCGCTTGAAAAACATTCCTCTGCTCTGCACCGGTGAGATTAAACCTGAGGGATTTGTACTTCTCACCGTCTGCCTGTCAGAAGCCGTGCGCACAGTGACGAAGCATGTTGTGATGGCTGTCCTCGTGGTATCAGCTGCATGAATGGATGGCTGTTTAATCTGTGCCTGAAAAGAAGATTTGAGGCCAGGGAAGAGAGAGGGCAATAAGAGGGGAGAGGGATTTAAGGTCCGAGGCGATGATGGGTTTGACTAGTGGGTGCATTTCACCTGCAGAGGAGTGAATGTGTTTTCTACACGGTATCAAAATGTGATAATGTGTGTACGCCTGTCTGACAGTGAATTTGAGGTGATTTAAACATGATTGTCTTCGCAGCAGAGCAGCTGTAGAGCCTCTACTGCTCTCCTAGTACCAGCGGACAGAAGGAGGCAATGAAATTTTAATGAGGTGATTGTATTATACTGTATGCTGTCCAGTCTTAAGCTGCTCCCCTGTGACATCCCAACACTGCACTGAAACACTTGTTTATCAGCCTCTCACCCTGGATGTTCATTGACAAGGGCGTGAACTGTGGTCAGAGAACTGTGGTAGACAAACATTTGTGTGAAACTGGCGGTTCGTGAGGTGCAAGTTCCCACTTGCAAGGATGAATGCAAAGGATTTTCCCCTTTGGGCTTTGTGTAACAATGTTTATCCTTCAATGACTGCATTAGGGCTGCAACTAACGATTAACCTCTGCATTATTTGTACAATTAGTCTAGTGCCCTAGTGTTTTGTCTAACCAACGGCCCCAAACCCCCCAAGTATTTTGGTTTTTAATCATAAAAAAGAGCAAATACTCACATTTGATAAGCTGGGGGAGCAAACCTGGCATTTGGCCTCTAAATTACTCCTTTCACCAAGTAACTGACAAGCAAAAGGCTAGTCTACAACCATGCCAGTAGCTCTGTGAGGGTGTAGAATAAGCAGTTCACAATGAAAATGCTAAATGCTGATGTGTCGCAGTGTTTACCATTATACAACATTGTAGTTTAGCATGTTACCTGCTTACAATGACAGTTTTAGCTTGCTGATGTGTAGCTAGCAGGTGTTATGTTTACCACGTTCACCATCCTAGTTTAGCGTGTTAGCATGCGACGATTAGCTAATTTACAGCGACACCGCTAGTAGGCATATGGCTAAAAATGCAAAACATTAACTTGACCCATGCAGCTTCTCTGAGTATTTGCTATCACAGTGAACTGAGTATCTTTGGGTTTGGGTTGCGAAACTTTGGGTTTGCGGTTTGGGTTGGGAAGCTGTAATAGAAGTTGTTGCTATTTTCATATTTCATATGTCATATTTTGGACAAAATAATGAACAATTTATTTGAAAAATAACGCAATAGATTATTCAACAGACCTATTTGTGATATTCAATTATTTATTGCCATTCTCCTCTCAATATCCAGAGACAAGCTGGATGGAATTGAACTGGCGCTGTGTTACACATAGGCCCCACCTTTCACTGCTAATGTGCTGTCACAAAGTGGCAGCAATTCCGACTCACAAGCGACCAAGAGAGTCGAGCGGTATTATCAGCAGCGGGGCCGAACACATGAATGTGAGGCTGCGGGAGCTTCTCTGCAACAAGGGGAGGAATTATCCTGACAGTCTGTGACTAGGCTCTTTTCGCCTGTCTGCCTCTCTGTGCATCAGATACGGGGCCCGAGCTGGACGGGGCCTCTGGCTATCCCCTGTCCAGAGCTGAGAGCCTGTCGCTTCCCATCTCCTCTTGCTGTGTGGTTGTGGGACAGGCAGTGCTCTCTTTACTTCTCCCTCCACAATGTGAGATGATTCCTTGGTGATGGCGATGAGCACTGTAAATTACTTCACACTACACATGAGATGCTGACTGGGCTCTCTTAGCCTCTAATCGATTGACCCTCTTTTACTGCCTATTGTGGCTTGTTAATTGGTCTCCAGCTCCCTGCTGACACAGTGACCCTAATGGAGGAGAATTACTGCTGTCTCGTCATGCATTAACCTCCCTCCTCCACCCCCATTTCATCAGCCCTCCCACCCTCTCAGGCCTAACCTCTGCTTCCATCCCCCCCGCAGCACACTCCCTGGATTCATAGCAGCTGGGTAGACGGGGCGAAGTGCACATGCAATCCCATCCTGTCACATGTCCCTGGGCCTCTGGGAGACGCGGTCAGGTGACACTGCAGCCAACCAAATTAAAGCACCGAGGGACATCTACTTACTGTTTGCCCACTGTTGTCCTTAATTAGTTTAAACATAATTTAGGCATGGTCGGAGTTATGAGAGGCCTCTTTGCACAGGAGGTCAGATCAAGCTTCAGGGCATGTGACTTTTGAACAAAAACACATTTCTACACATATCTTTTGTCTGTAGTTTCAGTAGATTTCATGTGAAAAACAAAAAAAATAGTAATATAAGAAGTCAGAGCTGCAGCTAAATATTATTTTCATTGTCAATGAAAATGCTGGAACCACAGTAATGTTTGCCGTTGGTTAAATGATCAAAAGAGAAGACCTGGAAATGAAGACAGTCTAAAGCATCTCTGATCCAGAAACAGCAGGGGAGCTCGAGATAGTTGCGACACCACTGACATCTCAAGACATCAGCCACTGATTGCCTTTTCTGTTTTTTTAAGTAACCTCCGTGTGTCTGGATGAGTTTGCTGTCCAGCTGCAAGCTTAGACACTGTGTAGAAGCTCACCCATAGTGGCTGCTGCCTCCATTATTTACAAGTGTGAATATTTCATGATGACATCAGGGTATGGATGCCTTAATGAGTTGTGGCACTCGCTCATCTGGCCCTAATACAGGCCAGTGAGGGCTCCTCTGTGGCGCCACAAAAACTGTGCACGGGCCTGCAGTAAAACGTGTTGAACTGCTGCAAGGGGAAAAGAACAAAAACTCTTCTCACTCTTGCATAAGCAAACCATCAAATCATTGTTTTTTCCTGAGGAAAAGCCTCGAGGAGGATGGAGAGGTTTAGAGAAACAGAAGCCTGTCGAAACTAGCACATTGTTATCTAGACTGCAAAACAAGGGCAAAAATTAACCACTCACTCTAAGCTGTGAGAGAAATGGTAAAAGTAGCTGGGAAATGAATCATCAATCATCCCTTTATGTATTATAAATAAACCGATCAGGCTCAGACTTGTAATTTTGTTCCCTGCTGTAATAAAAATCTGTGCAGATGTATCCTCTGAGGGGGAGAAGATGAAAGAGTCAAAGTCATTAAAGCCAGTGTCTCAAAGATCTGACTTTAAAGTGCAGTATGTGTGTGAGTGTGTGTTTGTACGTCATATAGTGTGATGAGTCAGAGAGATCTCATTTTAACTGTGTTTGAAGAGACAGAATAAAACTAAGGACACTGCAGCGCTGCTCTTACAGACTGTCAAAGAAGTGCCTTTTAGCTCTGGTTGTTCTCAGTCAGGGTCACAGTTAGTCCTCTCACTGGATGCTGAATGTGATTTTAAAAATGGCTGATTGTCCTTGTTGAGATGCTTGTAACCTGTTTTTGTCTGCAGTCGTCTTTTATTCTGAGTGATTGCAAAAATAACAAAACTTTTCTGTTGTTTTGTTGCAGTGAGGGCGTCTTCAAGTGTCCAGAGGATCAGCTGCCGTTGGACTATGCCAAGGTACAATTAACACTCACACACATCACACATTCACCGACTCCTCATCCCAAATTGTGGCTAAAATGAATTGAGAATATGTAGCTTAAGAGTGCCGCTAAAGCCCACTCAGTGTCTTCTCAAATATGATAATAAAACTTTATAAAACTTTATATTTATATCTACTTTTTTTTTTTTTAAGAGTTACAAAGTGTGTAACAGTAAAACAAAAGCGTAAACAATAACAAGACTACGACTCTACAGCTGTGTTATCGACTTGATGAAGCTGTACTGTCAGTTAGTACTAAACACAGCTGAGGTTGATGGGAATGTCATTAGTTTTGCAGGTATTTGGTCATAAACAAATGTATTGGTCAAATTGAAATGTTGACCTGATTATGGCAAGAAATAAAATGTCAGTGGATCACCAAGTTTATTTCAATTAATCTTGCAGGGGAAATTAACATGTGTAAGGTTACAAAATTTCATGGCAATTCATGCAATAGTTTTTCAGATATTTTACTCAAAATGTTAACCTCGCTAGAGAAAAAATCAGTAGGGCTCATCCTCTGGTGACTGTGAATATCTTCAAAAGTAATCTATCCGCTAGTTTTAGAGATGTTCAGTCTGACCAACAGACTGACATTATGCTGCTAGTATAGCTAAAAATAATTATAATGCTAAAGCCAATTTAAAAGTAAAACACAAAATAAAATATTAAAACATTGATGAACGTGCAAAAAATAAAACAAAAACAAGTTATTAACATTGGGAATATTTAAAAAGTTAAAAGTGATTTATAATGTGTTACAGATTTAGCAGAAATAAGAAACACCGGTTTGTTAACAGAGAAAATGTTAACATACAGGTACTGCAAGAATGTAAATAAGCTTGTGTGCACCAACCAGGAACAAATGCAAATCAGAGAGGATACGAGCAGCTCAGATAGGGACATAAATATAATCCTTCTATATCACATCTAAATATGCAGTATTTGACACATGAGATGCAAATTGTCAGCCTTTAAGAGGTAAACTATTTTAGAATGGTGACATTAAAATGTAAAAGTGAAAAACTGTACTAGTGAATCTCTGTAACACGTAAGCAATAACCCTTAACCCAGAGTCAGAGGTTGCATTTTATTTCATTACAGTGGGAAAGCAGAGCATTCAGTTGATCTGAACCACTAAGTCTACTATGTGTCAGCTCAGACAAGGAAACTGATCTACATTTCAACTGAAGTCCTTTTCTCTGTTATTTAAAGGCGGTTAATCAGATTGTGCCCGGAGGGGGAAACAGATAGTGGCTAACTGTATTCAGAGTCAGAGGATGTCTATCTCCCACGTGATATCCCCGTTGTAAAGTGAGAGAGTGCAGCACAAGGATAAGGGCTTAACTATGCACGAGAGACAAATGAACAGTACATTATCATCCCTGTTTCTGAGCAGTTTTTGCCATCAATTGAGAGTAGACTGTTGTATGTAATTCTTCCATGCACTTAGTTAGCATTAGCCTGAATTAGCCATTGAGCAATTAGCCTGGAGCTGCATTGGGATCAGCGGGGCAGCAGTGCAGGTCTGCATGCTGTGCTGAGAGCGATGCAGGCGCCTGTAATAGCAGGGACTCCCAACAGGAAGGATGTGCTCATGGCACACCTGTCAGACATTGTTATTTACCCTCACAGGCTCCCAGTCACCTACAAATTACCCCGTCCTGGTGGTCTGCTGTCAGGGTTATTGTACTGCTCTCTGCACACTATCCTTCGAAAACATGCATAAACACAACCTCGATCCAACAGAAGAAGAGTGTTGCAGTCATTAAAGGATTGTGTAGCTGAAGTGATAGTAGTAGTGTGGGACTAACAATGGCTAAAGCAGACAGAATAAACCCTCAAGTAGGAGCACCAAAGAGCTTAACCCCCCTGATCTGCCTGGGACTAAGTTATTAAAAGGTCATTATTGCCTTCTCCCCACAGATTCCAAGTCTGGAACAATGAGAGTGTTTCAGTTTGCTTTAGAGGATTTTTCCCCCTTTTCCTCCCCTGAAAGAATGTGATTATGGCAGCAAAAAAACCTGTCTGCTTCTGCTGTATAAGTAGAGTGCAGCAAGTCAAGCATGTGTTTTAATGTTAGATGTATCTGTGTATTTCTAGAGCATATTTAACAGGTTAATATCATACTTCAATACACTTATTTAGTCTGCCAGAGGCATCTCCAAACACAGCAGTTAGAAACAATGAGTGAGATAAATAGAAATGTTTGATTGTAGATTATTTTCCAAATCAACTTCCAATTTGAACGCCATTGGCTCCCATGTTTTTCAGTACAGAGACACATAAGCGCAGTCGGGCTGTTACTGAGCTGTTATTTGATTAGAGGGCTGTTGTGACATTTTGAGGAAGTGGCTTTTCTTGTTTGACCAGTGCTCTGCTTGTGTGACAACATGGGGGGATGGAGATGCAGAGCAGAGCTGTAAATCCGCAGGACAGCAAACTGTAGGGGAGGATTTGGGGTGTTTGGGCAGAAAACTGACTCATCCCCATTGCTCAGTGACCAAGGAAAAATAAATCTTTCCTCCCTCTCTCTCTCTCTCTCTCAATTTCAATTCAGTTCAGCTTTATTAAAAAACAATATTGCCAAAGCTTAAAATATAATGCAAAAGAACAATTAATTTCATACAGTTCATAAATAAAGTAAATAAAACAGTAAAAGTGTGTGTGTGTGTGTTAAAATAAAAAAATAAAATCTCTCTATCTCTCTCTCTCACTCTCAAAGGTCCTATAAACCCACAAACTAACTCATTATCCCTGCAGTGGCTGGCTTGACTCACTGCTGCAGTTTTATAACACGATTTCTACAGTTTCCAACATAGTGACTTTCCAGTGTACATGTGTGTCTGGATGAAAGAATCTTCCTGTAATGTAACATCAACCTTGACTGATATGATATCGAAATGAACATGTAAAATAAAAATTATTTAAAGGAAATCGCACCATTTTGGCAAAAAACACTTTTTTGCTTTCTTTCTGGGAGACACCGGTCATACCAATCTTAACTCAGAGCTGCAGTAAAGAAGGACGTGTTTAGGCTAGCTATGCATAAAAACTGGAGGGGGACTGGGATATCAGTGTCACTAAAGCTGACTTGCTTACACAGTATATCCCGTTTGTTTAATTAAACAGATTAAATCGTCAATTTCTGGTCTAGCAGAAGTTACATGTTGGAGATTACCCAGATAAATCTACATTTACTTCTCTTTCCAGCCATTCCCTGATGAAGACCCAGTGTGGGTCGCAACCAGTCAGCGTCTCCTTTTGTGATTTTTTTTACTCTGATATGCCCTCAACAGATAAACTACATCCTTTGCTCAGTGAAAGTGTACCTGAAACTAGCCAAGAGGCCTCCTTTTTCTGTAGTTTACTAATCTGGTAGCTAGAGCACTTTGAATTCACATAGAGTTTACTGCTTTACAACCCTGAGCACCCAGTATTTTTATCTCTTTTTTTATATTAATATATTGATATTGACATTCAAACATATTTTAATCAACTCTCTGAAGGGTAAGAGACAGAACTGAATTTAAAAATAACTTTATTATACTAATTTTCTTTCATCAAGCAAAAATATTAAAGCACTTCCCCCAAAAAGACAGAGGTGAGAAAAGATGGCAGGAGAGAAAGCAAGAGAGCAAGTATATTGTGACAATAAGTGTGACAAAGCAACCATGCAGAGAAAACCTAAAAGATTTGAACACTTGATAAGATATTTTTGTTATTGTCAACAAATCCCATGAAAATACAAAAAACAGCAATCCATTAGTCGATCAGACTTCCCCACTGACTATTTGTTCCTTTTGAAGACTGAATCTTAAATCACGAATACAGACTTTAATTTTATTTAAGTAAGTATTTTATTTCCTACTTGACACTGTAAGCAAACATTACTCAATGAGTAGTAAATAGTGTATTTGTAAGGGACTATCTTCTCTTGCAGACTAATACACATTTGGTGCTCTAGTGAGTGTTTCCAGCAGCAGGACATTGTATGTAGGATTGACACAAAATAAACAACAGTCCAAATGTTCATGGTAATGAAGGAAAATGTCACCCATTGCAACAGTGTGGCTCACTGATGTGCTTTTAATAGTTTAATACGTTTTGGCTTTAGCTTCACAAACAACACTTGCTAATAGGTCAACTAGTTAATTGGAAAACGTATCCTTTAAACTTGACTTTATTTGGTATTTATATAGTGTGATTCTTCCGAGAGAGGCTTACTATATGTTTTGTTGTTTAGCGGTGAAGAATATGAAAGAACTGATGAATACTGACAAGATGGAAAACTTTAGGAAGGAAAAGTGGGAGGTACATGGTTTGCATTGGACAGCGATGACTGGGGAGAAAATGTTATGCACACATTTGTTGTATGAGGGTGGTATATAACAGACTTCCAGCATGACCAGCTCCAACTGTAACGCCTTGTGACTTTGTCCTGCTTTTCTTCTTCAGATCTACCCTGATCCAGAACTGGAGCAGCAGATCTTGGCGCTGCCCATCCGCTGCATCCACAGTGAGGAGGGATGCCGCTGGACTGGCCAGATGAAGCAGCTGCAGGTGAGAAGCTTCGATATCCTCTCTCACATTCCCTCAATCTTTTCTTTTATCTCTGCTGCCTTTTCAAACACTCTGCCTTGTGGATTCTGATACCTGTTATCCGCCCTCCCTGCCCTCACCTTGTGTTGTTTTCTGGCAACGGTCTGGCTGAATGCCCAACATGCGGGTGTATGTGTGAGAGTCTTATGACACATTGCTTCTCTGACGTTGTGTCTCCCTCAGGGCCACTTCTCCACCTGCGCCTTCAATGTGATACCCTGCCCCAATCGCTGCTCTGTCAAGCTGACGCGCCGTGATTTGCCCGACCACCTGCAGCACGACTGCCCCAAACGCAAGGTCAAGTGCGAGTTCTGTGGCAGCGAGTTCACGGGTGAAGCCTACGAGGTAAACACCAACTCATAACCTTTCTTTCCCTGTTACAATACAGCAGGAACTTTTCATAAACTACCCCCAAGTGACGCCATATAATTTCCATCCCTATATGAAAGACATCTTTGTGAAAAGCAGCAGGAGAGACTAAAGCACGTGTGTCACTGCCTTTGGAGAGTCTTGGACTATTTTGAAATAACACGTGTGTTGGCAGATGGAAAGAAGGTTTGACTGGGTCTTTCATATTGAATGTGTTTTCCTCAATGAGCGGTCTGTACTTCACTAACACCTCTGTCATTTCTACTACGCTGCCCCCCCATCATCTGTTTACTCTGGCCCACATGGTCCCCCATGTGCACACAGTTACAGGGGCCTTCATCCAGCTTTTGGGTCTGGCATAGAAATTACACTATGCATGTCATGTTTATCACCAGATGTCATTCAAAACATTTTGACAAATGATACCCGAGTAACTCACTTCCAGTCACAATTTTACAATACTTTTTACTCCACTACATTTATGTGATAACTTTAGGTAGTAGATACTTTATAGATTTATAATATTAATACAGCATATAAATCAACAAATAAATTACAACATATTAATTTGGATTAATCTGCCGACTAGTATACAGAGTAGTTGGAATTAGCCCCACCTTATATCAATATCAATATTCTGAAATGTGCCATTCTGTATAATGAGTACTTTTATACATGTATATTTTGATGTGTATTACTTTTGTATACTATCATATACTGTGGTATTGCTACTTTTACATATAAAAGATTTGAGTACTTTCTCCGCCACTGCTTGAGTTTCAATACCAATACTAAAGAAAAAAGCCTACTCTTGACATAAATACAACTTCTACAAAAGTATTTTTTAATTAAAGAAAATTAGACACACTTCTCTGTTTGTTAACAACAAAATTATAGCATTAAACGAAGGCACACACCTATGTTAAAATAATCTTTAACAACAATAAATATATGATATGATTAGTATTTTTATAATATTGGTATGTGTCATGTACTTTGTCACACTGGCTTACTTTTTTACATTTGTCTGGATTGATTCAGACATTTTCTGAACTTTTAGACCGATTATAAGGAATGCATATCATGTATTAAAAAGCCAGCAGAGTAAATGTAGCTTTATAAACGTTTCTTAAATTTGATTGTCAGCTATCCCCACAAATAGCCTAAAGTAAAATTGTATTCAAATCGGCAACAAAAAATCGGCAACATTTGATTAAACAATAAAAAAACTCCCTATTTTAACCCTTCCAGCAGCTAATTGTTAACTTCTAATAGTCTGTACTAGAACACTTGGTTTTACTGATGGTCGTGTATGGTCTGATTTTGAACAGTGCAAACTGCAGTGTATAAAATGCATTTGAGTAAACAGTAACACCTACTGTATCTACTTGTTCTTAATTGTAATCACGTGTTTCCTATCTATCCCAGAACCACCAGGGTGTGTGTCCTCAGGAGAGCGTTTACTGTGAGAACAAGTGTGGGGCGAGGATGATGCGTCGTCTGCTGTCCCAACACGGCATGGCCGAGTGTCCCAAACGCACGCAGCCCTGCAAGTACTGCGGCAAGGAGTTTGTCTTCGACACAATCCAGGTCTGTCACACAAAGTTTACTATCAGAATCTGTCAGTTCTCCCCAAATGACTGCTTATATTAGTGAAATAACTTGATCTTTAAGACAGTTAAGTGCTAAAACTGTGAAAAGCGACTCCTGCCAGATTATTAGTACCTGTCATCTGTCCTGCATGTGGCTTCATACAGGGTTTCCAGCCTCAGTAGAGCAGCTGCAGCTGTAGGATGCTGCCTTTCATGGTGTCTCTGTCCTGTGGCAGCTGGCTGTTTTGCTGTTTGGGCTTTTATGTGGAAGCACCTGCCTCAGTACACATCTGGCCAGAGGCTGAGCAGTCACTCTCCTCTCCCAAGATGTTATTACCAAAATCTTGGATTCAGTGTTTTATAATGCATTTATGATGTTTTGTTTCCCTGACTGTCATTATTGATTAATCTTTTCTTGATTATTCAATTGATAGTTTAGTCTATAAAATGGAGTAAATTGCATATTTGCATATGCTATTGGCAGAGTGACCGCAGTATTTTCTGTGGCTTCAGGCTGAATGATGAGTTGTTTTCTTTATTTTCTGTTATATTTTTGCATATTAAACACTGTTCCTGACTCCTCTACAGAACCACCAGTACCACTGCCCTCGGTTTCCTGTTCAGTGCCCAAACCAGTGTGGCACTCCTAACATTGCCCGAGAGGATCTGGCTAACCATGTGAAGGACAACTGTGGCAGCGCACTCGTTCTCTGCCCCTTCAAAGATGCCGGCTGCAAACACCGGGTAAGACTGACCTGCATCATTGAACGATTATTATAAAAGATTATTTCTGCCTGTGGAGGAACATTTATAAGCTAATATCAACACTACTGTTGATATATTCTTATCTAACTGCCAAGCTTGTTTGTTGTTGTTTATAAGCTTGTTTTTACTATAATTTTATTTCACTGCCCTTGCTCATCGGGTTCAAAATGAAGATTTTTCTCCTTTTGACATACAACACAGTGTCTGTAGGGTCTGTTTTAATGAGAGCAACGCTTCTGTTTTCTGACAGCGCATTTCAGTCTATTTTTGAAACTGTTATCAATTTGAGAAAATGTGGACATGCTCGAGGAAGAGCGGCAGATGAGCATCATACTCTTTGTTGTCGGCTCCTCGATCTGTTAAGAATTACAAAGCATCTGGAAAGCATGATGTATAACATTAACAGATGGCCTTATGGAACACAAAAACACGTCTCAACAACAGCAGAGGGATCATTAAATATAATAATCCAAGTGTCCACACCTATGGATGTAGTGTTCAGTTGTAAATGGTATATTGGGGATGTAAACAAATACAAGAACATCAGATAAACAGACACATTTTCGCATTATTTTTAGGTAACGGGCTACAGATACTAGATAGATAGATACTTTAAAGTTCAATATTCAGACCTTTGGCGAGGTTCATCCTCAATAACTGAAAGTGATGTTGCACAGGTGTTATGTTTCTCTCATTGTCCGATATTGAAGCCTGGCAATATGCGTGACTTAGTAGTAGTTGACAAGATGTAGTTAGTGACGGTCATTATAAACAAAACTCATGTTTTTCAAATCAAAACATGAAATATGTCCTCATGCGATTCCTAATTTATTTTCATTCATTTCCATCCGGACTATTAACTGTTACATAGTTTTTTAGACCCAGTTTAGACAGTTTTTTTTCTTTTTTTGAAGGTGGGTTTCACATGCAAATCAAGCTTTATTATTAGATTAATTTAGGTACACGGTTAACATTTTGTGTTGCTTTTTGTATTTTGTGGGCAGCTAAACTTATGACTTAAACATGTGAGAAATATAAATGGGCGTAGAAAACAAAAACAAATCAAGCAATCTAGATCCAAATATGGACATTTATATTATGATGTAGCTTTGTATGCATAGAATCTGTTTGTATTACACATCTCCTCACTTACTCACTGTGCAGCAGCTTCTACATAATTAATCTCTTTGCTTTGCTGTCTCTCTGGCAGTGCCCAAAACTGGCTATCGGGCGTCACCTGGAAGACACAACTAAGTCTCACCTGACTATGATGTGTAACCTGGTGGGGCGTCAGCGGCAGGAGATTCTGGAGCTGCGAAGAGAGATGGAGGAGCTGTCTGTCAGTCATGACGGTGTTCTCATCTGGAAGCTCAACGACTACACTCGCAAACTCCAGGAGGCCAAACTCCGAAGCAACCACGAGTTCTTCAGCCCACCCTTCTACACTCACCGCTATGGCTACAAGCTGCAGGTGTCGGCCTTCCTGAATGGTAACGGCAGCGGCGAGGGCTCGCATCTCTCCGTCTACATCCGCGTGTTGCCCGGAGAGTACGATAGCCTGCTGGAGTGGCCCTTCTCCTACAAGGTGACTTTCTCCATTATGGACCAGAGCGACCCGTCGCTTTCCAAACCCCAGCACATTACCGAGACCTTCAACCCTGACCCCAACTGGAAGAACTTCCAAAAGCCCAGCAGCAGCCGCAACTCGCTGGACGAGAGCACCCTGGGCTTCGGCTACCCCAAGTTCATCTCTCACGAGGAGATTAAGAAGAGGAACTACATCCGAGACAACTGCATCTTCATCAAGGCTTCTATAGAGATTCCCCAGAAGATAATGGCTTAAGATCTGATCTTTTCTTTTCTTTTTATGAAGGAGAAAGATGAACTAAAGGCTGGCAAAAACTGACACTTAACCTTGAAAACTTCTACACACTTACCCTTTAGATACTTTCTGCCCTTACAGCCTCTCCACCACAGAGCTTGAAGCGAGTCTGTTTGGCTGTGTGAGCTGACTCGGAGGACCTTGATATATCGCGGAGGAGAAAGTGTTTGGTCTGCAGAACCATCACTCTCTGGTGTTTCTTTTTATTAATTTTTTTATCTGTTTGCTGACCTTTTATCACAGTCTACAACAAAAAGCCTTGGAAATCAAACAGTGCCTAGAGAGTTTATCTTAAGTTATATTTTTGTTGTTATTACTGCAGTACAGATGTTAAAGATTATGGAAAAGATATAAAAATAAGTGTGAAGGGCTTCACTAAGCCTCTGTACTTAGAGTAAAGAGAACGTTAGAAGCTGGTTAGAGACGCCCATTAGGGAGATCTAAAGAAGAGGAAGCTCAGCAGACTCAAGCTCAAGCCCAACTGCCTTTTGTTTACACACTCATACAGTATACTTCCAATGATCCCTTAACAAACACAGAGCCCTTGGTAAGAGACTACTCATGAGGTTTGTGTACACACAAACATCAAGTGGATGTTTTCAAGTGAGAAACTTGCAGCTTAAATGTAGGCAATTTTTGTGTTTTAAGGGAATAGCCTGACACTTTGGTTGAGTTGAATGACAAGATCACCGTCACTATCATATCTGTCCAATACAAGGTTACAGCCAGCAGCCAGTTAGCTTAGCAATCTTCAGAAAATGGGGAAACAAAATCACCACCTCAGACATGCACTAATTAAAATGTTATATCTAATGGTTGCATCTGAAATCGCATACTATGCACTACATACTCAATATGTGCATACTAGTAAAAAAAACAATTGTTTTCTACTGGGCGCAGTTAACTCACACTGGGTGCCTGGCAACTGCTCCTGAGAAATAGCCTTCCAGCAAATGGTAGATTGTAATTTTGCCCTTTGTTTTTTTTGTACAGATTAAACAAACAAAATACAATGTGTAAATTAGGGAGCTTTAGAAGTGCTGGTAGGTTATTTTGATGGCTTTGGACAAAGCCAGCACCCTTTATCCAGTCTCAATGCTAAGCTAAGCTAACTCTCTTCTGGCTATAACTTCATATTTAAAATAATTGTTTGATATTTTGGGAAACACACTTTTTTCGCTTTCTTACCATGAGTTAGATGAGAAGATTAATACCACTCACATGTCTGTATGGTAAACCTTAAGCTACAACCAGCAGGTGGTTAAATTAGCTTAGCATAAAGACTGGAAACAGCTTGCTTCTCCAAAGATAACAAAATCTGCTTACGAGCACCTCTAAAGCTCAATAATTAATCCATTATATTTTATATCTTGTTTTTAATACATACAAAGATCTTTAGACAGAGCCAGGCCAGCTGTTTACAGTTTTTATGCTAAGATAAGATACTTGGCTACTAGCTGTAGCCTTGTGTTAAATGGAAAGATATGTGATGTGAAAATGTCAAACTATTCCTTTTAACTATCACTATAAACTAATAATCATTCATCTTTTGGGCTTTCAAAACTGCACCAAAAAGAAAGGTTGCATTTCTGTCAAGCTCAACCAGGCCTCTTTTATTTTAAAAGTTTGCAAGTTTTTTACCCGACAACATTGAAATTACAGATCTGTCTGTAACTTGTCAGTAGTTAACCCAGTCGTAATAGCTTCAGGAGCCTGCAGATGAACCAAACACACGATTCATAGTGACTTTGTGTCTTGTGGATTCCACCAATGGGGGTGGGGGGGAAGCACCTTTCGTCAGTCTTCGGATGAGGAGAGCAGACAAAGAGGCCAGTTGTCGGGGGAGTACATGCGCATTTAATAGTGAAGGAAAAGCCATGTGGCCTTTTTATACAGTATGTCTTCGCATGAGGGTTTTAGGGTTGAGCAGGGCAACATAAACACATGCATGCTTCATGTGCTACCACCTGGACCACATTTTTGTACTGAAACCTGTATTCTTGAAATCCTCTCCCGTTGATGGCTATCTTGTCTCTTTTTTTTGGACTGTTTGAGAGTTGACACATTGTCAAAAATATTTGTTTTTAATGTTGTTTGTTTTTGTTTTATATACAGAAAATGTGAACACTTTTGGAAATATAACCTATAAAGACAATGAACACTTGGCTGTGAATAGCCTGGGCATGGATGGTGTGCTGTCTGAAAAGATGGTTAATGACTTGATCTCTGCAAATATGTGTCGTGGGACTGACTACTCCTGTTTTGTTACCATGGTCACTGGTGTCTATCTTCAGCTAGGCACACAATGTGGCAACGAGGAGCGCTTTGAGGGATGCAGCCCTGTGCGATACACCTGTCTCCATCACGGCACCATTAGAGGGCTGGAGGACTTTAATGATACACTGCACTCATGATGTATGTGAATACTAATGTAAAAATGCAGAAGCACATTCTGTCTTTTATTATACATGGGGAAAAAAATCATGATTTCTTGTCATAATACCAGCTGATATTTTACAGTGATTTAAAGAAGTGAGAAGATGAAACTTTTTTGTAAGATTCTGTATTTTTAAAAATACTTAGCTGTTTTATACAAACACTTTTCCTTTGGAGAGTCGGGGTTGACTTTGGGAATTTTCAGACCCTTTTGTCTCTTGGACATTTGGATAATTTGTTTGTACTTGTGGTTTGAGCCTCACATATTCTGTCTGTATTATTTCCTCTTAAAAGTATTTATTTTAAGGAGCCGTCATGTGAGTTTGCACAGATGGCACAAATGTTTTAAAATGTTGATTGGTGAGTGCTTGTCAGTTTCTTAACTGAAATAAAATACCATATATTATAGTTGCTTTACCTATTAGTATTTTGAACAGTGCAGACTTCGCACACTGTTGATAACTTATACTCAGTTTTTTTTTATTTCAGGTAAAATTCAAATTGTCAAACAGCTCCCACACCATATTTGTAAATCTGACCTGGGAAAAAAATACCAATCACAGGATGCCAGCAGCACTTGCCAGCATCCTTACCAACTTGAAACATATTTGCAAACATGTTTTCCAATTTCAAAGAATAAACCAACCTCCAATAAAAAAATCATTATCCAAGGATGGATAAAATAAGTACAAATCATACTAAAGGTAAATGTTCTCTCATAGTGCCAGTTTCACAGTTATGCTACTGCATCCTTCCAACTGGATGATGCTTTTAATGTGACTTTCCTGAAATGAGCACTTGAATCCTAGGTGAAACAATTGATCCTACACACCTAGAATTTATGGTGTACAAGAACTTCCTTGTAATTGTTATGTCTGGTACGACTTTATGTTTTTATGTCCCGTCATACTTCCATATATAATGTACCATATGCCATGGCACATATTGTATAAACACTTTGTGAACATAAAAAGTCAAGAATAATACTTGACAATAACTTTATGTTTCACTGGTTTTAATAACGCCTTTGCAGAAAAAACGTGTGTATTTAAGGGGTACTCAGGTCAGATATTAGAAAGTGGTCAAAATCAAAGCGGCACAGGCCAAGACATCTTGGCTTTAAGTCAAGTATGTGTCAAGCTCCAAAAAACCTGCATCCTACACTTCCCATAATTCAGTTTGGTAGTCTTTTCTTTGATCGTCTTTCAAATTCCACAACCCAAATTTGTAACACCAGCTTTTCGTTAAACATCTGTAGTCCATGACAAGTAAATTGACTTCTGAAATTCACCCGTAGAAAACATAAACGTAGTTAAATTCATTTTGAATTCCAAAAGGGAGTCAGACCGGATCTGAATATAGCCAAGACCCAAAATGTGGTGAATTAGACCTTAATGTGGAGAGAACGCCAACACTGGCAGCAGCAGCACTTACCAAGCAACTAGTAACAGCAATCGGAAAGAACAGCCATGTCATTTTCCTGCACTTCACAGTACCACACTCCTTATCTTACCTTAAAAAACACATCAAAGCAGATTGCGCGCCCACTCGGATCCACTCAGGTATTAAATATATTGACACACAAACAACAAAGACTTGAATCAATACAAACAAGACCTTTCCCAACCTGGTTAGACTATATGTAATTTTCAGCCTAACCCTACCCTTTGTCACTAGGACCCTATGAAGACCTAAAGTATCATTTATGGATTTTTCCTTTAATAAGGAAAAAAAAGGTTTTCATGGAAAAATGTGTTGATGAGGAAATATTTGCTGATGATTTACCAACTAAAACATTTACTTCCTCAGTATATCCTCAGTTTTGTTTGATATATTTGGACTGAAGAAGCTAGATACTGATTCTCTGAATTAACTACAGTTCTGATCACTAAGTACTGAATGCATTTAAAACACATGGACACCATTGAATTATTAATGAATTGTATTATGAATATTAATACTTAATGATACTGAAAGGCTATAAAGCTCGTTTCAGCATTCACATTTAGCTCAGTGGCGAAGAGCAGCCAAGTGGTTGTTTGTCTTAAAAAAAAAAACAAAATAAAACTTTTATTACAGCAAGCCATAATAGTACTCCAGTCCAAGAGAGGCACTACTTCTATTCTGAACTATCCACAGTAGAAAATTTGTTTTATTTTCATTTCCTCACCTACTCAATGATCTAGGTTAGAGGTGAAAGAAGTTTCTGTCCTGCCTTTTTTTGTAGTCTTTGCACCAACACTGCTCAAGATGGAAAGGAGCGAAGGAGCAGAGGAAAGGGGGCAGAGGAAGTAAGGCAGACACCAGCCCTGCTTTGATGCGAAGCCAGGAGTTTGCATTAGCTTGCAGTTTGGATGATGTTCAGTGCAGCAGGATTTAGGAAAGAGGAAAATGAGCTTTAACGTCAAAGTCACTGAGAGGTCCCTCAGGAGGACAGTCCTCTTTTCCACTTACTGTGCAATAGCTGGCCAAAGTCGTCCTAGAACATATAATCTCAACTCTCTGAGTCTACTTTTTCCCCCTTTAAAATGAAAACAACATCTGCTTTAGGAATACTGCATGACTTTTATTTGCTTCTTTACAATGTCTTCCTTTTTAGAATATAGCCAATATGCTTGAAAAAAAAACTTCTTGAGTGAACTTGTTTTTCATTCAGGGTAGCTGTTTTTAAGTTTCCCCACAGTGAGAGGGATCATTCATTAATTTCAGGGAGGGGTCCTCTGGTCAGGGCAGTCCCCTCTGTCTCTCCTTAGACCAATACAGAAAGTTAATAGCTAAAGTGAAGAGACTCAAAAGCCATACTGACAGCCTCAAACTTTCCTGGCACACGGTGTACAACCAACAGCCCTGTGCTGCTTCAGGGCAATGCAGAGTGAAAATAGCAACAGCTAATTACATGTTAGCAAGCTCCATGTTTCCCATGCAGAGCGGGAGTCATATGCAGCTCGGTGTACAGTGCTGTCCTTTGGCTTTGCTCTCTTTCAAATCACACCCTCGCCCACTTGGTAAATGATTTTCAGGTACAGTCCTGTTCTCATAGTCACAGTGCACACAGTCATTGTCATTCCTGCTTGGTAAGCTCACCCAATGTTTGGTCAATGTATGCTGAAAGCTAGATGCCAGCTGGGTTAAAAGAGGATGAGGAGGAGACGTGGTGGTGGTGGTTGTGAAGGCGGAGAAAGGCCCAACCCATGAGGCTTTCCTCGCCCATAAAAAAATAACACATCAAAGAGTAGCTGTGGTTTATGAAGTGGTGCCATGCTGTCGTCCCTCATACTGAAGTTAAACAATTCTGCCTCACAGCGCAGGAACTGAGCAGGGGGTGTGTGTGAGTGAGTTGGTGAATTGGTGTCCTACAGCAAAGAAAAACCTCCCAGGAGTGATAAATATCTGAGATGCACAGCAGGAGTTCACTCACAAGCTGGACAAATCATCTGACAAGAAACTCTTTGGTTGAGGACAAAGGTTCATTCTTGACCTTGGACACATCAGTTTGACAAAAGCAATAAAATGCACTCGGGCAGACTGTGAGATCTGGTTGAAAGCTCTGGAAAAAGCTTGTAAAGGTATTTTCATTCAGGAGGGACCTAGAAATAAATAAAAACTAAATTAATACTTTGTAAATTAGTATACATGTTTTAAATATATGAAACAATCATTTATTTCGTTACAATGCAATATAGAAACTGTTACCTATTGTTACCCGATAACAATATCAAGGTACCCTTTAGTTATTAATACTTTAAGTACAATTTATTTTTAACATAGACAAAGCTTTTACCCCATCTTTTCCTAACCTCTTGTCTTATTCCCTTGCACTTACAGTATATGTTTGTCCTGGTATTAAGTATGTTATTGATACCACATATGTATGTACACTGTGAATGTGGGGTAAAATGTTAAACAAATTTTCAACATTGATTGAGTCTACCTGAAAGGTGTTGAGGATCAGAATAACCTCATTGAGTAATCTGACCTTCTTGCACGTTCTGTCTTGGATTATACAATATCTAATCTTCTATTAGTCACCAGCTCCACCCCACCTCTCCCTCCAAACCAAAAGGCATTAACTGTGAGTCACTAATATAATTCTACAACAAACTGGGACAGCTACAAAGGTGTACATTTATTGTACATAATTTGTGTATATCGTGATGTGCACTGAGTATGTAACTAACACACATCTAATACATAAATCATAATAAATATCTGATATACTCAGCTGAGACCCTAACCACATATGAGTCTTGTAATTCAATTAGAGCCCTGTTTGATGCTTTCACTGTGCAACATTTTATTCTTTTCTATGTGTCTGTGTCTTCCATGTTTGGATCAATTAAAAGCTTGTAGACTACAGATATAACAGATGCTGGAGCTCTGATTTGTCTTAATTCTCTATCATCAAAGTATTCCCTAGCATCTTTCTCTTGAATCACAGACTTGATGACAGAGAGTTGTAGACCACAACTATTTATGATAAGCTTGTCTGACCACACTCACCTCAACGACCCAGCTGGCAACAGCTGGACTGTGCAGAGTCCAGAACAACCAACAAAACACAGATGATATATTATTTGCAAAGAAAAAGACAGCCTCTCCCACTGATTGATTTATGCATTCCCTCTGATGTGCATCCATCTAGCGAATGATTGATTGTTTTCATCTCTTTTTAAAGCCAGTCGAGTAAGACCAGAAGCAGTCAACTGAGGCCAAAGGTCAGTCAGACCCACCATGGCTACCTGCCAGCAGCACGATCCTGCCAGGCCCGGATCAATCACTGGCCTGGATTACTGGAATAACACACTACACACTAACACACTAGCCCTGGGGAGGTGTTCACAGGCCATACACTTACCCATACACATTGATGAAATCACTGATCATAATAATTACAGTTCGAAGGGGCAGAGTAAATCCAGCATCAAAAGTAAAAACCAAAAACATAACAGAACATATATGAAATGAGGTTCTGTTAGTATTGAGATTACTTGCTGAAAGCCATTGTTGCAAGCAAACAGACAACTCCAGCTGCTGTTTTATTATTTTCCCAAATGTCAACATTTTTAGTCATCTAACATATCACTAGTTTCAGTAACCCAAAGGATTTTGATTAAAGAAATTACACTGTAGATTAGATTTAGACTTTATTGCTCCAGAGGGAGCATTGTTTTCACAGCTAGATAGAAACACACAGATAGAAACACAGCAACCCACCCTTGACTCTGTGAGCATTTTAGCATCTTCTAGCTTATTGTTTTAGTTTTTCAGCTGCAACTTTACTGTTTTTTTTGGTTCAGTCTCACTGCTCTCATAGTGTAATGTCTGGTGGCAGCAGACAGCTGCTTTTAGCGAAAAAGCTCTAAAAACCTACTGCCCACTATACCTGCTCAGCACCAAGCAGCAAACAG